TGTCGATGAAACCAATAATTCGATGACTGCATTCTCTGCAGAGTGATATCCCCCGCCAAAGGAACCACTTGCCAGCTAGATTCTTGAGGATTTGCGTATTATTCATGCTAATGTTTACCTATAGACTCAAGTATAAACTCAATCAATGTAATCTCAACAGCAAAATCGACAAATGTTTATCAGCTTACCCAAATGTAAACATGTCTAATGTTTATCTATTGATCCAAGTATAAACACGACCCATTCTTAATTATAGACTAAACATGACAGTATTTACCAATATACTCAAATATAAACTGGATCCAAGTTTACTAAATAGGTTCAAATATAAAGACGATAAAGTTTCAAGTGCAAACACAACCAATTTTTTACTATAAACACAACTGTAACGGCTATGATCTTTTTCCTTTAGACTCGAGTATACCAAAAACAGATGTTGAAACTAAATATCCATACAGAGGTTGATATATGGTAACACGAACCCGAAAGGCAAAAGAAATTAAAACAAGTGAAATAATAGAAACCTATGCAAAATTAAAACTTTACAAATTGTTGCATGACGTAGAACGCTAATCGAAGCCTCAATCCTCCCAGATCAATCATACTCTTAGAATATTTATTCGAAACAGAGGCGGTCCTTTAGATTCAAATATACCAACTACCTAGCAAAAACATATGGCAAGCAATGACTTGGGTCTTACTGGCAGTGGCTAGGCACGATGTTCTAAGACATGTTAATCTCTGGTCCAACTGTAACCGATCTTGTATAATCCACGTACATCCTGCAAAAAGATTTTCAAGTGTCTGCAACAATCGTGGAAAGGACGAAAATAGTCTAAATTTTCTTTCGCGAATTCAACCCAGAAGTATTGGTATCAATGTTTTTATTCGTTTGACAGCAACTTAACCGACTCTTGAAAGAGGAAGGATGTTAGACGTATCAAAGGGCAGATGAATTCCAAGTATCAACGCCTAGCTAAACAAAGTGCAACAAAGTCCTATAACTACACACACCAAATGACAAGCGTGGCAATATACACCTCATAGATATCAAATAACCGACTCCTTATTTAATAAAAAGGGACTAGTGTGATTGGCGTTGAATGACCGTCATCCAGAGAGCGCCTGAAAATAAAATAATACCAAAGAGGCATTTAATTTTAAGAAATTGTATTAATGCAGAACATTTGTAATTTAAAACAGGCGACGGAAAGTAAAATTCTAGGAGTTGATAAAACAAGGTGGGGAAAAATGTGGCATTCATAATGGGCTTTTACAGAACCGTATACAGAGGAGGTGAGAGGAAAAAAGAGGAAACGAACTAATATTAGATAAATACAAAAGTAAGTGTGATTTACATTACTAGTAACTGTCAGAGTCGGTTTAGTGTAACCGAGAGAGAAGCCATTTAATGTAACAATCACAGTACTATATAATAAAAAGCACAAAATAACAGATAATTTCCAACAATATTACATAATATGAATCCTCCCATAAGTGAGTGCTGGAAAATCTCCGCACAGAAATATGGTTCGACAGAAGAGAAATGTGGTTCTACAGAAGGATGCTGAGAATACCATAGACCGAGAATGTGAACAACGACGCAGTTTTAGAGAAAATGGAAACAAAAACGACACTTATATTTAACATCAGAAAGAGAGAGTTGAGATTTCTGGGGTGCATAATGAGGTAAGGGCAACTGGAAAATTTGATACCCACAGGACAGAACGAGACAGAAGCTCTCTGTAGCTAGGTGGTTAAAACATACCAAATCAGGTGGCGATTCCTCCGGCAAAAAGCAGACATAGGACGCAGGATTGGATCCTACCGGAGGCAACATATTCTTTATTAAGTTTTATCCAGTCAGCAGGACGATAGACGGAATAAATGACCCGTTCGGCAGAGGAGAGGCATATTCAAAATTTGATAATTTTGCAGTAATATGCGCTTAAATGTTTTAGGCAATTTTGATAAACATTTCTTTTCATGTTTAGCCGTAAGAAATTGCAAATATATGACTAACTTACACTTAAATAAAATAATTACAATAATATTTATTAAGAATTTATTACAGGAAATATCAAGTTGTTGACAATTATGTATTTATTATGTATTTAGTTACATAACAAATAAATAAACAGAACATAAATTTTGATGTTATATTCGATTTGTTGTTAGGGATTTTTCATTTTCTCCTTTGTTATTGGCAGCATTTTAAAATAATTTGGCTGCAGGGCTAAGTTTCCTAAGTTGAACAAACTGCAGCTATTTCGTTTACGCTTTGTTAACTTTCTTTCCCATTGTTTTTAGATCGTTTTCTTCCGGTGATTTTGATGGAAAATAGCAAAATTCTGAAATTTAGAATAATCTTATTCCATCTGAAAAATAAAGCCTACAAAAATGAATAATGTAAATTAATATACGACCTAAAATAAAACGCCTTTGAGAAAATACCTTAATGATTTCACTAAAATCATGTAACAATAATGTAATGATATTTCGCAGACAAATCTACGGTTTATGTTACCCCATCTCATTGCATGGTTATGAACTATAAACCTAAATTAAGCTAGAAATATTGGGGAATCGTCTCTGACTTTCTTTTAAAATACTTGGATATGATATAATGACTATTTTGCAGTGAGAAAAGCAATTTTCAATTTTTAGTTGACTACGCCCCTCCTATGCCTAACGTATCATATACAGTTTGATAAAAAGGAGTACCTATTCAAATAGGGTCATGCACTAAAATTAATTTTATATATATATATATATATATATATATAGAGAGAGAGAGAGGGAGGGAGAGAGAGAGGTGAAGAATAGGAGGGAGAGAGAGGGAGTTCATAAAACTCGTAAGTGCAATAGCCGGAAACAACAGATATTCCAATGCAGGGCAGATATTTAGCATGATTGCATTTAGGTAAATTGTCTGCAGGTCAAGGAGACAAAGCGGAAAATGTGTGAGGACAAGTTTCCGTTGAGTATAACCAATGCACAAAGAGCAATATAGGGATAGAGAGTATATAGAGATAGAAGAGTATAGGTATCGGGAGTATATAGGGATAGATAGAAGAGTATAGGGATAGGGAGTATATTGGGTTAAAGAGCTTTACAAGTTATCTCACTTTTGGCCCCAAATCTACAAACCAGAGTCGAAGATAAGCGGAACAACCATCGTCTTAAAAAAAAAGTTACTCATATTCTCCCTCTTAACCGTTCGATTCCATGTCCCATCCTGTATTGGCCTCATCAGCGATCAGCAGGCCTACGTCACAAATTAATCTTCGTTCTCAAAACCAACGCCAGCACAACAAGACAAGCGCAGTTTCTGATTTTCGATCCATGAAAACACAATATGTTCAAAGAAGCTGGAGAGAAAACAGACGAGAAGGGAAAACAGTGAGTAAGTCCTAATCAAAACAACGTGCCCGGTTGAAGTTAGAAATAAACAACGCTATAACAAACAAAATGAGATATTCTTCGACTTGAAGTTTAAGTTGACAATGTGCAAGTTATTAATAAACAAACACATGCACTTTGGTAAACACATGCAAGGAATCCCACAGATTATCGAAAACAAAACACACACAAAAGAGCTCGCGAAATCGTACGCACAAAAGGTCACACATTCTCAAAAATAGATTTCCCAAAGCAGAGTCAAAGCCACGTATCAAATTCTGTAAACTCTCAAAAATAGGATCATAAAAGCCTTGCATCACGTAAAAATACAAACAAAAGCACATAGACACTAGAAGATGCAGTTAAGTACACAAAAAGACACACAATTTCACGTTCTCTTATAAAGACATACATATGTCAGAAACGGGCACACAGATCCTCAGTCTCTGGTAAAAACATAAACCAAGGCACATCGACTCTCGGAAAGCGACAAACAAAATACCAAGATCTCTCAAGAACACACGCCAAACTGACAGATTTTGGAAAACTGGCACACAAGTGCCTTAGACTAGTAATTACATATACCAAAGTCCAAGGACTCAAAAGCAGGCAAAAAAGAAAGCCTATACTCTCGTAAAGATACACACCAATGCTCACAGACTTTAGAAAAAAGACACACAAAAGCCTAGTCTCTCGTAATTACACATACTGAAGCCCAAGAACTCTCGAAAGTTGTCAAATAAAAACCCTATTCTCTTGGAAAGACACGCACCCAGAGTAACAATCCCGCAGACACACGAAAGAGACACAAAACACAAACCTTCCGTAAAAGACATTTATCAAAGCAAACGATGTTACAGTTACCAGAGATTCTCAAAACGGAATACGGTCTTCTAGTTTTTAACGACACAGATCAAATCCCAAGAACTCTCAACAAGGGACAAAGTGTCTGGAAAAGAAACACACAGGAACCCAATCTCGCCAAAATACTCAAACCAAAACACACAAGCTCTTGTCAAGTTAAAAATCCGTGCAAAAAGATTCGCATTAAGACTCACCTCCACATTCACAAACACACGTAAATACGCACGCACACAGAATTTGATAATGACACACAAGAATGCTTCATTTTTTTTTTTGTTAAACCACGCCATGTTCGCAGTCTCGTACGAACAGAATTTCTTAAGACACACACATCTGTATCTTGCACCATTTCGACAAGATACACCGCCATACCTTTGAAGGCAGCCACGTACCAAGAAACTCTTTTCAATATAAGCGCAGCCGATTGACAGCATCACTGATACGTTCGAAATCATGTAATCGCACACAATCAGATGAAGAAACAAATTCGTGGAATAACACGGTCTCGCTCAGATATGAGATACCGCGTACACTAATTATTTCCTGTAAATACATGCGGGATGTGGCAGATATGCACATTTTTCGTGCAACTACCAACACAAAACAGATGAGCAATTCCTCAGAAGTCGCGTCTGTAAATGTACATCCACTCACTATCCAATATTGAATGTCGGTAACTACAAAAATACACCCACGCAGGCTACATAAACAAAAAAATCGATTATCTTTCGAACTCTGATCTATCAGGTGCTTCGTTGAAGAAAATCATGTTATATAGATAGATAGATAGATAGATAGATAGATATGAATAGAAAGCAATAGATAGATAGATAGATAGATAGATAGATAGATAGATAGATAGATATAATTGTGGATTTGGGCAGAAAACCTCATATAGAAGTTTGATTGATTGAAAACGACTGACAAATTACTGCGATTAAGCTTTTTTATTCATTTTTTCTTTGAATTCGTACATATAGTTTTTTTTCTGAACATGGAGTGTGTAAAAATGTCCAAATATTCGATATATCTAAGCGATTTCGGATAATCTATTAGCCATTTCAGGGTTGTTGTTTTTTTTAACTGTATCAGTATATATATATATATATATATATATATATATATATATATATATATATATATATATATAATAATTTATTCGAAATTATAACATAAATATGTTATAAAATCACTACAAAAATAGCCATTTTATTTCAAAACTTCTGGTGTCTTATCGATTGATTTTGTTAAATGTAGAATAAAGAGTTATTCTATATTCAACACCATCACTTGATAAGACACCAGAAGTGTTGAAATAACATGGCTATTTTTGTAGTGGTTTTATAACATATTTATGTTATAATTTTCGAATAAATAATTATATTTGTTCTACTCTCTATTGAGAACTCTTTTAAGAATAGTATTTGTTGGTTATTGGAATTTATTCCGTATACACCAATCCTATACTTGATATATATATATATATATATATATATATATATATATATATATATATATATATATGCAGTTAAAAAGAAACAGTTGAAAAACATAATTGATAATGCCTAATAGAGTAGTCAAAAGGTCTCAGATATATAGAACATCTGGATAGTTATACACACTGAATAATAGCTTAAGTGTATGACCATTTACACTGAGATTCCTGTCCACATTCACAATATGAAAAATATTCGTTGATAACACAATTATCCTACGCCAAGAAAATAAATTAAAGCTACATATTCTCGAAGCAATCTTCATTAAAAAAAATTGAAACCGCGCAGTGAATAGAATCAGCTACGAAAACGAACAATATTCTAAAATGCCTATAAAAGAGCACTTATCGCGCTTCAATGCACGCTTTACCATGACATACCAACGTAAAAGAAAAAATTCCGTAATGGAAAACTTTTCACGTTTTAATGAATGCTAACGCATAACTGTCAGCCGTTGCATTTAAAGGCAAAAGAAAAAATTCACATAGATTTGCTTTATCAGTTGCACCCAAAATGATGGAAAGTACTTGGGAAATAAAATGGAAAGAGATGGAAGATACTTTGGAAATAAAAGTGATTGCCACCGTTACAGTGCATTTCTTGCTCATTTAACTGTAATACACTCAGCACAGTTTTGTGAACACCTTAAATTAAATAAATATTTATTTGGTCATCTCTATATGTACGTTTCACACTCACATATAGTTGCTAATATCTCGTTATTCAGTTTATGTTCACACACACACACACACACACACACACACACACACACACACACACACACACACACACATATATATATATATATATATATATATATATATTAATCAATATATATATATATACATATAAATATTGATTAATATATATATATATATTAATCAATATATATATATATATTAATTCAAATGTTAATATATATATATATATATTTATATACGAAGAAATAATCACACATAGAATCAATCAGAAGTATTAATGCGATTATTGGCGACATCCATCGCTAGAAAACATAATATATGCATTCAAATACTGTTCATCCATAGTGCGAGTTGATCCTCATCGATAAACTTGTTGTCTGTAGTTTTCAGTTTATTTGATGTTAAAATGCTAGTACTTACGAATAGTCCTCTATTCATCATCAGGCATGTGTTTTTTTTTTCCTTATAAAATCAAAAACTTGAAGACGATATACCTGTATGTCGACCGAAAGATGTTTTTTGAATATCTGCTATTATTGACGGTTGTGTAAGATCTCGGAACGTGCAAAGACGCAACGCTAAGTTTTTCAAAATTTTAAGTGAGAATTTTATTTAAATATTTCTTGTGATGTGTTAAATCCACGTATTCTATTTTTACAAGTGTATTCAGTTTTTATGTCATGAACTAAGTATATAGTTCAATAATATAGTGTAATGTCTTAGTAGTAGTTTTTTTTATAGGAATTTTTTTATGTACTGCGGATCGATAGTTTTTTATAAACATAAAACATTAGGCAGCATATAATTTACATACGAAGAAAAATATATATATATATATGTGTGTGTGTGTGTGTGTGTGTGTGTGTGTGTGTGTGTAATAATCTAAATATTTAATTATGAATTGAAAAAAAACATCCCTGATAATGGCTAATTGAATAACAGAAACGCTCGGATACATATTTGGACACATTTTACACTTTTGTCCAGAACAATTGAATAAAAAGCATAATCACAGTATATTGTAATTTATCTTTAATTTAAGCAAAGAAATTTTTTTTTATTTTTATTTTTCATATTCACTTCCATAAGCTTTTCTTATAGATTTATGAGAATGAGTTGAGTGTCAAAACTCTCCATAGTACTTATTCTACCAAGTGCTTTCGGCCAATTCGTTATCCATTTTCAAGCGGCACTATTTTTTAGTATATTTTCCGTGTTTGTGTTCTCAGTTGAGTGGTTCAGAAGTATTGGCAATTCTGAGACGTGCTGGATGTTGAAGGGCCTTCAAACCACCGCCAGAACGTTCAGGTCTATTTTTATTTCTGTTTTAATCATTTCACACCAAGAATGGCGATAATGCCACTAAGACGCAAGGGACTACTGAAAGGGAAAGAAGGATATTGGAGAAAGTCTTAAACTTCTAATCCTGTTCAAAAGACAGAGAAGGAGTGCGATACCTTATAGGCTAAAGGTATCTTACTTCGAATTGTAAAGGAAATCTGCTCTGTTTAATGAAAGTAAACATTGAGCGCTCTTTTATGAGTCAGTTTTAACATATTTCAACTTCTATGTTGTGTTAATAGGATTTATATATATATATATATATATATATATATGGATGACCAAGCTCTTTGTGTTATAGAACACGATTGGTCTAGGAGATGGAACACCCTTACACGAAAAGCCTGAGGTATATTGTTTGCTTCGTCTGTGGAATTCATTTGCACCGACTGAGTGTATCAATAGTACCGAAAAGTGTGGATGTTTCAGCACAAGCCTTTACCACTTTAATCAAATCACTTGGGTGGGTTTTCTTGTGGTTTACCTTGATTCGTTCATATTTCTGTCGTAAGACCACGTGGATGCATCCTCGTTCGAAAGACTGGCATCTGATCAACTGCATCGTCACCAAAAGAGGGGACATAAAAGATTTTAAGCTAACGCGTTTATTCCACACAACATGCTATCTGTCAGATCACGCTCTACTTCGATAGTAAAGCTAAACTGCATATGCAAAAGCTAAGGATTATAAAAATCTATAGTGCCCAAGCGCATTAACGTACTGTCTCTTAAATCGACAGAAACAAAAATTGAGCTCTCTGACAAACTTGATGTTGCCTTTGATTCTGTAAACATTACCAATGATATGGAATCATCATGGAAGGCTCTCCGTAATGCAATATATTCTACATCCTTGGAGGTTCTCGGCCTGCCACATCGTAAACATTAAGGCTGCTTTGATGACAACAATAATACAGAAGTTCAGCAGCTTATAGATCAATTACATTCTTCTCATAAAGCATGGCGTGAGAACAAGAACTCGTCCGATAAGAAGATCGCTTACAAGAAGTGCAAAACAGCTCTCAGAGCCATGAAAGAGCGTTGGTGGCCTGAAAAGGCCACTGAACTCCAAGAACCTTTAGATAGAAAGGATCTAATGGCTTTCTATGCTGTCCTCAAGAGCATTTCCGGTCCTCAGAAAAGTGGTGTTGCTCCAATCTCCACAGCAGATGGTTAAAATCTCTTGACAGATAAGTCAGACATTTTAGATCGTTTCAAACAGCATTTCGAAACTGTGTTAACCACCACTTCGGTTACTGATGAGGAAGCCATCACATCAATTGAGCAAAAACCTGAAATTCTGGATTTGTAATTTGAACCTACCTATCAAGAGGTAGTGGACTCCATCAAGCAAATCTCATCTGGAAAATCACCTACTCCTAAGGACCCTATTCCACCCGATGTGTATAAGCATGGTGGCCAAAAGTTGGTAAAAAAGTTACATCTCCTTTTTGTGGAGATATGGAAGGCAGGCTGTGTCCTACAGGATTATAAAGTCACCTCTATCAAACACTTTTACAAAAACAAGGGTTCCAGGTGTGTCTGTGATAATCATCGGGGGATATCACTACTTTCAATTGCAGGCAAAATCCTAGCGAGACTGATTCTAAACAGAATCATTATACACCTTGTTGACATCTATCCCGAATCGCAGTGTGGTTTTAGGTCGGGTCGGGGCACCATTGACATGATATTTTCTCTTTGTCAAGTTGCAGAGAAGGTTCGCGAGAAAAACCAGGAGTTATACATGGTGTTTGCAGACTTCACGAAGGCCTTTGACACTGTGAATCGAGAGGTTCTTGAGCGAGTCTTGAGAAAACTCGGCATCCCTGAAAACATACTAAAGGTCATCATCTCCTTTCATGAAGGAATGAAAGCTAACATCGTGTCTGATGGTATAATGTCGGAATGCTTTAATGTCACAAATGGCACCAAGCAAGGTTGTGTCATGGCCCCTGTTCTTTTTGCCCTTTTCTTCTCGGTGATGCTGAAATATGCATTTGCAGACACAGAGAGTGGCGTCAAGTTTCAGTTTCGAACAACTGGTGGTCTCTTCAATCATCAGCACTTCAAAGCCAAGACCCACCTTCGTACGCATATTATTCGTGATTTGTTGTTTGCTGATGATGCGGCTCTTGTAGCGACATCCTTTGAGGAGGCCCAACATCTAATAAATCGTTTCTCTGCTGCATGTAAAGTATTTGGTCTTACACTTAGCATAAAGAAAACTGAAGTTGTGCACCAACCTTGTCCTACTCCGAAGCAATTGCGTGGTGAGAAACAAAACCATCATTCTACAAATTTCCAGAGAGACCATTGAGAGTAGAAGACAAACCCTGAACTATGTAAAGTCTTTCACTTATCTTGGTAGCAAAGTCAATTACAGTGGAACTTTAGATGATGAAATCATGCATCGGATTGCTATCGCTTGTGGAATGTGCGGGGTATTCGACTGGATACGAAAATTCGGGTTTACAGAGATGTTGTACTCGCCATACTTTTGTACGGCTCAGAATCGTGGACTCCATACAGGTACCATATACGCCAGTTGGATGTTTTCCATAATAGTTGTCTGCGTGCAATCTGTGGAGTTAAGCTTCAAGATAGGACATCTAACGTAGACCTGTTTAACAGGTGTAATACTGAAGGAATCGAGATTTTTCTCATGCAGTCTCAGTTAAGGTGGACTGGTCATGTCTTGAGAATATCTGGTGACAGGATATCCAAGATCCTAATGTACAGCCAGTTAGATCAGGGCTACAGGAATGAAGGACGCCCATGGCTAAGATACAAAGACAAGCCGAAAAGCAACTTGTCAGCAGTTAATATGCCACATAACACTGTTGAGCGCTTAGAATGGAGATCAACGTGTTTTTGTGGACTAAGCAATTTTCAATCTTCTTGTCTGAATCATCTTCAAGAAGCGAGAGCAAGATCTAAAAGGTCAGCCAATCTAACAGTGATCTCATCTCACAATCCTCACTCTTTCTCCATATGTGGACTCTTTTGTAAATCACCATCGGTTTTAAATGCCACTTAAGATTATCGTACAAAATTTCATAACTGAATCAACTAAGCTGTCAGATCCTCATACGTCGAAACCGACCGGAGAGTCCATTATATATATATATATATATATATATATATATATATATATGTGTGTGTGTGTGTGTGTGTGTGTGTGTTTGTGTGTTGAGATGTTGTGAGTTTCCCGCGTGTCAGTGTATGAATCAAGACAAACACAGCTGTAGAGGAAAATACTGGTATATTTGTAAAAGCAATTAACAATAGAGTGATTATTAGTAGAACGAAGGTTGGTTAGTACGAAACAATATCCAAAGTCTATAGTCCAACGGTATGTACCGGGAAAGCTTATCTGGACTGCTGTCGCTGACGCTCTCCCGTCCTCTCTCTAGAGCTGACTTATATAAGAGGGACCAGTCCATTTCTAGTTAGAAGGTGGGTGCGCCCCAACAATATATATACGGTGCGATGGGTAAATTGTCACAATTTTATATATTTAATTTCGAGCATGTGCGTTTTTTTTTATTTATTTATTTATTTATTTTGTCGACTGTACAATATATTAGGGCCAGTTGGGCAATGTCTGCGAGAAAATAAGCACCATGACACAATTCACTCAATTTACAAACGGCATGCTGTACTGCTCTTCTGAGCAGTACAGCATGCCGAAAGTTCCAATACGAACATTTCAGAGTGTTGAGTGTCGATCTGAGGACAGTGTAGGGGTTCAACAAAACTTCTTGTAACACCAAAGATGAACTAAAAGCAAAGGATTATGGAAGTATTCGCCAACTTACACAAGGAAACTGTCCAGAAGAGTTGCAGGAGATTTCAAAGTCGTCTGGAAGCTGTGGACTCTTTAGTATTTCAAGATATTTTTGTGTAATTTTGGTAAATATATCTGTTAAAATGAGATGTCAGTGTTATTTTCATTTCTGCGTAATTTATCCGACAATTTATCCATCGCACGCTATACATACATACATACATATATATATATATATATATATATATATATATATATATATATATATATATATATGCAAATATCAAAATTATCACTTAGCTGATTAATGTTCTATTCAACATTCAGCAATCGAACTACATAGTATCGTAAACGAACATTTTTGTAATTGTTCCATCCACTCGTCAGGAGACATCAGCAATTGGCTGCCGATTTTATCCTTTTCCTTATTTTTATATTCTGTCTTGAAAAATAACTTATGCGCTCTTCATTGATTGAGTGTTTTCTTCTTTACGTTTCTGTGTGTATGTATACGTGTGTATGTGCGTGCGTGTGTATATCTCTATGTCTGTACACATGTGCAGAAAAATATATATATTATACCTATATATATATATATTTATATATATATATATATATATAAATATATATATATATGAGAAATTACACACACACACACACATATATATATATATATATATATATATATATATATATATATATATATATATATATATATATATATATATATATATATATATAAGAAAATATATAAAGGTTTATTAAGAACGTTAGGTTGGAAGCACCGTCTTGGGAAATGGACTGATATACAATAATTTCATTTTGGCAAATTACACTTATAATTATTCTTTTCCTTTAATAATTGACTTCGTGATTTTTCATGAAATTTCGAATGTATATTTCTGATATAGGAATAGACAAAATTATTCTGGGATGTGACTGATGGAATGAAATATACATATACAAACAGATAGATAGATAGATAGATAGATAGATAGATAGATAGATATGAACATACGGAAGATAGCAATTGCATAAGAAAGCGTCAATCTAATTAAAAGCACAGACTGCAGATGTTACTGAAAAAAAAATGTGTGTTAACCATTTTACAATTTCTTACTCCGGTTGCATTGGAATTACTTTTACTTCTATCTTTGATAACAGTTATTAATTTTAAAAAACTAGCTGTTATAATTCTTTCAAGTACTGATAGGGGGGATGTTTATCATCATAACCATTCGTTTTAAGTCGTGTTGTAATTTTTCTTCGAGTTACATCTGATATGCATTTTAATTGTTGCTACTCTTGAATGTCCTGATATTCTGTGGTGTCTGTTTAATACTGCAATTCTGTAGCCCCAAATATCTCAGTTTAAAGAAGGTTTGTCCTTACAGGATTCGTACGTTCGGAACCATTTTCACCATTGTTCTGAGCAAGCGGTTTTATACAGTTGACAGTTTAGATATGTGTGAACGTGTTTGAAGCATAACATCCATATGAATGCCTCGATCTGATAAGATTATTTCTGAACATGAATATTTAGTTTGATGTCTTGTACTTATTACAGTCTATTCTGTACTCAATGTATTTAATCCTTATACTAAACTTACTCCCCTTCTAAAACATCCTAGCATTTCCATGAGCACCAAGGTAATTGTAACTAACGCCATTTTCTTACCAACGTTGACATACCAGTGCCAGACATAAACAAAAGTCCCTAACAAAACTCCTTGAAAGGATCACTTGTGAGGTGAAATGCTTGAGGAAAGCAGTGAGCAAGACCAGGCGAGACAAGATCAGGATTGAGGCAATAAGAGATATGGTAGGAGCAATACCAATCATACAACACATCGAGCGAGAGAGGATAAAGTGGTTCGGATACCTCACTCGCATGTCTATCAACCAAGGAGCCCTGCGAGCATACACCTTCAAGCTCTCTGGCTGGAGAGCGAGAGGCAGACCAAGGAGACACTGGAGGCAGACACTCTCAGAGCCCATGAGATATCTCTTCTCCAGGCCACTCTCCTTGCCGCTGACAGACGACTGTGTCACTCCATGACGCCTAACAGCACAAGCGGAAGAAAAAACTAAACACAAACTAAGGATCATGGAGGGGTACAACTGAGTTAATATTGCATTTTGGATCCAACCAATGTCATGTGCACAAACACTTCACCATTATGGATCTAATATCAAACAAAACGGTGCCTTGGTGACAATTGAGGCAATATCATCATGGGGTCCGTACCTGACCGGAACCCTACCTTCTTCAAGTGCGTGTACTGTCAGAATGTAGGCGATCATGGATCTCCACAATTTCCTATCCGTTGTATCTCTTAATAAACTTTGTCTTTCTGTTACTTCTCCTAAGCCCTCTTCGGCTATCCATTTACTCAAACTCACTAAGTATATTATGCGTTGTTTTCATGTCCCTCTTGCCCTTTATCTGTCTCGTGAGTATCGGATTTTACAAGCATTCCTTCTCATTATATGATCCAGAAACCTCAACGGTCTCCTCCTGGTGTTAGTTTCCTTTTTGTTTCCATTTTCTCCAAATCTTCGTGGTTGCTCACATGTTTAATCTATGGTATACTCAGCATGCTTCTGTATAACCCCATTTCTGTTAGCTCGTCCCCTCCTCATTGTTTGGGGAAATTGTTCAATATTCTCTACCATACAGAAGGTCAGATTAGTACTCTTTTCCTTGATTTTTATCAGAATTAACTCTACACTCTTGAAACCGTGAGTTATTCGACTATTGCTAGTCCAGTCCTTCGGGGTCCAATTAGCGACGTCAGACAAATATGAACAGAAAATAGGAAGTCAAGAATTAACTCCCATGAGCATTACTTACAGAATAGCGGCTTCACCCTATGCCATTAGATATTTTGAGTCCCTACCTATTTGAAAAATACAGGTAATTATCCATACGAAAATTATCTCTGTTTCTCTCTATCGCTCTCATTCACTACTTTTCCTCTCATTTTTTTTGCCCATCCTTAGATGATCTTGCTCTCCGACAGTTTACACAGAATTAGAAATTAGTATATCTCGGTATTGTTAGACATGTTAGAAATGAGCGATTTTCTTTCAGAAGTTGTTTAAATTTATGTCTCCTCTATCGCCTCTGCATTTCTTATTTCCTCACTTACGCCCTCAGAACAAATTTATTCAACAACCCTCTATCTTGAGTGGCTCTTGTATCTTGTATTAAGTGAATAAGAATAATAATAATAATATATATATATATATATATATATATATATATATATATATGAAGAAACATACTCCTAAGGTGTGCTATATTTATGGGATAAAGTGCTCAATATCAGAGATAGAGCGTGTGTAAATATAAAAGTGAACATTGAAGTCAACACTTCGAGGCGACAGGCTGTTTCATGCTAGACGCAATCGTCAGGCCTCAATATACGTTTATTTATCGGAAAAAGAATAAGTACAAACTCAGCAAATGAGAAGATTTTCTATGAACATATTAATTTCTAAAATAAAGCTCTAAAGGATAGTGGCTACAAAAGCCCAAAACCAACTTATATAAAAAAGGAAAATGGAAAGTATAGAAAAACCAGAAGTAGAAAAATAATTTGGTATACACCCCCATACAACCAAATGGTAAAGAACAAATTAGGACAAAAATTCGTTACATTAATAGTTAAGCACTTTCCTAGAGAAAGTAAAGTAAGTACTATTTTCAATAAAAATACACTAAAATTAAGTTACAGCTGTACTGAAAACTTAGAAAAAGTTATTAAGAAACATAATGCTAATATCTTCAATAAACACTTAGACCAAAACCAAAGAAATTTAGACAATATAAAAATAAAAACAGATGAAGATAAACAATAATTATGTAACTGTAGAAATCCTCATAACTGTCCTCTACAAAATAATTGTTGCGCGGAATCATAAGTGTACTAATGCAATATCTCATCTATTGAGAATCCCGAAAACATAAAAATCTATAAAGGTTGCACAAGCCATGAGTTCAAAAAAGATTCAATCAACATCAAACTTCATTTAAGATAAATAAATACAGAAATCAGACATTCCTTTCAAAATATTTCTGGCACTTAAAAGAATCCAATAAAACACCTACAGTAAAATGGAAATTAATAAGAAAAGCTAGAATTTTTGGTCTTTAAATGACCCATGTCCTTTGTGCATACATGAGAAACTATATATTACTAAGTTCATAAAAAACAAATCTTACTGAATCAGAGAAATGAAATTTTTTGCCGTCATTGTCAAAAATTTTCCTTAAATAATATTTAAAAATAAAATTAAAAAATGGTAGCTGGTAATATACATACATATATTTGATATGAAAACGTAATTTTAGATAATTTAAGTAATTCTATTACATTTACTTGTTTTAAAAAAGATATAGTCTATTAGTACATAAGAGTAAAAAATATTTTAAAATTGTAGTTAAATAAAACGTATTCTAACCCAAACACCCCAAGATTGAATCTTTAAGTATACAAGTACTAAAAAATGCCGAAAAACTTTTTGCCGTTAATAAAAAATACCCAGGCGACATACATTTAACGGATGTCAGAATTCGTTGAAAAATACACCCCTACCCTCCCTAAACTTCTTTTTCGAACGTAACTCATAATTGATGCAACAATAGTTAATAAAAATGAACACGCTACCGCCCCTGTCTGAATGATTGGATTTCTCTGTATCCTTGGTAAAGAGGAAATTTATGTGTCCGTTTAAACTCAGTAAATTTAAAAATAAGTTATTCCAATATTCGCTTGAAGATGAAACGGAACTAATCCTTTTAATTTCATTATATAATTAAATTTGAAGTTTTTAGCTTCAGTTTTTGAAACCTGGTTATCACTGTGTAGCGAAAAACCATATTTTAAATCAGTTAATTTATAATATTTATGCTCTGTAACTTTACATTAAGCACTATTTTGTAAAAATAAAAATATCTATAAGAACACCGGATTATATATCTTACTGTTCTTTCTTTCTTTCTTTCTTCATATATATATATATATATATATATATATATATGTATGTATGTATATATAATAGCTGGCCTTTCATATTCTAGGATAACCGTCTATTAGGGCAGCTAACTAATCCCTATTGTAGATGCTCGCTCAGGCAATTTATGTTTGTTCATCACCCACAGAGCCAAGCTGTGGTTTATACTGCAAATATGCTGAGCAGACCTTAGTTACAGTTTATGGGAGAGAGCGTGTTATCTAGCGTGATCCACAATTTGAACAAGTCACAATGTCTTGTGACTTTGAGCTAGCACAGCCATCCTCGGCCCCAAGATAGATAGATAGATAGATAGATAGATAGATAGATAGATAGATATGCATTTATGCGGACGACACGACTATTTACTCCTGCCTCAAAAACAAATCTAGTGTCGCCCTCAAAACTAACCTGCTGGCCGTTTCTCTAGAAAAAGGACCTCCAATCGGTTGTGGACTAGGACAGGAATTGGCTGGTTAACTTTAATGCCTCAGAAACAAAACTGATCTCTATAACTAACCAGACAGAACCATCCCTGCCTCCCATTAGAATGTCCGACGCTCAATTCCACGAGAGCACCTCTTTGCGACTGCTCGGTCTCACATTGTCCGCTGACCTGAGATGGATCGAATACATTGAGTCAATAGCTTCGTCCACCGCAAAGAAAGTTGGCTCCCTGTGTCGCGCCAGGAAATTTTTCTCACCGGAGTCGATCCTTCAAATCTACTAATCAACCATTCGTCCTTGCATGGAGTATTGCTTCCATATACGGTCTGGAGCCCCTTTCTGTTTGTCTCAAGGTCCTTGATAAAATCCAGAGACGGATATGCAATGTAATTGGCCCTGACCTGGCATCTCGTCTGCAGCCACTCTCTCACAGACGTGCCGTTGCCTCCCTCTGTCTTTTTTTACAAATACTTTCATGGTAACTGCTCCAATGAGCTGTTTTCGCTGGTTCCCAGACTTCATAAATTTAAGCGCTCAACTAGGCTGGCATCTCGCTCTCACCCTTTCACTGTCTCTTCTACTATAATAGTTTCATATCTCGCACTTCTCACCTGTGGAACTCCCTCCCCATTTCTTGTTTATCTCCAACTATTCAAATGTAACGTCAATCAACGTCTCCAGATCTATTCCCTAACCGTCTTTTCATCCTTTCCTCTATCACTCCTCTTTGTTCTCGCTCCTACTCTGAAACCCTTTGCGTGCTAGTGGCTTCCCGTCTTGCTTGAGCTTGAATGCTTAAAAAAAATATATATATATATATAGATAGATAGATATATAATATTTTTCCATATAAGATGAAATTCGTTTCGGTGGATTTAGTCGACTGTTTTTGTTGCTCACCAGTCGAGGTGCAACTAAATGCACCGAAACGAAGTTGCATCTTTGTAGTGAGTAAATTGTTTTTGCCTAGATGAAAAAATCATAAGTAATTATTGCTCTACTATCGGTATCGACCCCTCGTTTGAAGTAAAGAGAACGTTAGAAGTTATATATTATTTTCGTTCTCATTACATTCGTATATATATATATATATATATATATATATATATATATATATATATATATCCCGGCATTGCCTGGGTATGTAACAGTAAGTATCGATCATCATAAAGACTGAAAAATAAAATTGTTTAATTGATTATTGTTTAAGGTTGACGGACACGCATGTCTTTTTTTTATGAATTGGTCAAACCCAAACTCAAACAAAAACATTGTTTTCAATCGTTATGAGTCTACCGATTGAATAGAATTTTATTATAAACAATTGTCTTGTAAATGGAATTTTTAAAGCATTCTGAATGTAAAAATAAAGAAAAAAGTGTGCAAGACAATAAGAAACACTACCTGCCAAAAAAAGTGAAGTTTTGTTGAAATCGGTTGAAAAATGTAGGAAATCCGATCCCATATATAATCGAACACACACACACACACAAACAAACAACCTGGATTTTATTATAAGTATAACTCGATATGAGTTGTCTTCCTTTCATTCTCGCGACAGCGATGTCTCTTAATCGTGTTTTCAAATTGATTTCGTGCAAAAACAATTGTGTTTTTCCAATTTCTGGCGCTGACAGAACCACCGCAAGGTAATTTTACGTAGTCCTGTGAAGTTTTGTTGAAATCGGTTGAAAAATGTAGGAAATCCGATCCAATATATAAACGAACAGACACACACACACAAACACACACAACCTGGGTTTTATAATAAATATGATGTACAGCATCTTTGGAAAGTCGTTGAAAACCATACCACGTGAAATGGGTAGATGGAACCCTTTGGGGCCGATGATAGCTGTGCTAGCTCAAAGTCACAAGACATTGTAACTTGTTCAAATTGTGGATCACGCTAGATAACACGCTCTCTCCCATAAACTGTAACTAAGTTCTGCTCAGCATATTTGCAGTATAAACCACAGCTTGGCTCTGTGGGTGATGAACAAACATAAATTTGCCTGAGCGAGCGTCTACAACAGGGATTGGTTAGCCGCCCTAATAGACGGGTATCCTCGAATATGACAGGCCAGCTAATATATATATATATATATATATATATATATATATATATATATATATTCTCTTTCATTCGTCTCTCTTTAAAATATCACGCGTCTTGATTGTAGCACGTGAAGAAATCTCTAAGCGGTCCTTGAGTGTGATTGCTAACGTATCTATTATATACATTAATTAAATTTTAATTTGTATTTTGAAGTATTGAGTTTTAGGTAGCTAATTAGCTGCAGTTAGACGATAAGATCCGATATATTAAATATTTCAGAAATGTTCTATTGTGTATAAATCAGGAAAACCTCGTCAAAAGCTCGAGGAGAAATCAACTGATTTTCCCATATTTTCTCCATCCTTTCTCCTATCTGTCTCTACAACATTTTTTCACTCTCTCTTTTATTTCTTTATCTTTACTGTCACTCCTCTAACTCTACTCTTTTCCCATATCTCCTCTTTCTTCTTTATTTCCTTATCTCTTCTCTCTCTCTTTCAATCCTCTCCCTATGCCTCTTCTCCATATTTACTATTGCTCCGTTATATCCCCTCTTTCTTTATGTCTATTTTCTCTCCTCTCCTCCTCGCCACCCCCACCTTCTTTCCCCTATTTCCTTCCTTTGTTTCCATCTTCCCGCTAACTTTTTCATTCTCTTCTTTTTCACTTACTCCTTATCACTCCCCCTTTTCTACCCTGTCTCCTCTCTTTTCACTATCTACCATTTCTCCCCAATATCTCTTTTTAATTTTCATTTTCTCCTCTCTCCCTCTCTCTCTCCCCTATCTTCTCTCTCCTATTTCCTTGCCTTTTCCGTCTCTACTTTACTTTCCCTCTTTTTTCCGCCTCGCCTCTTTCTTCTATCTCTCCTATCCTCCCACCATCTCCCTTTACTTCCATGTCTCCTCTCTTCTTCCTATTTACCTTTTCTCACTATATCCCTTCTCTTTTCTGTCTCCATTTTCTCTCCTCTCTCCTCTTTCTCCCTTATCTTCTTTATCGCCTATTTTCTTCGCTTTTCCTCCCCTCCTTTACCTTTCCTCATTTTCCGTCTCCCCTCTTTCTACTCTCACTCTTCCAGTCTCTCCCCTCTCTCTGTTTTCATCCTCTTCTTCTTCTTCCCTGTCTTCTCTCCACCTTGTAATAACCTTTAATGTGCCATCTACTAACCTCTTAGAAAGAGGCCGATCATGGCCCTCTACAACTTCTAGTACCTCTTGTCTTTTAACCACTAAAATGTTTTTTTTTGTTTCTTTTTGTTTGGTATATCCTGTGAGTGTCGAATTCTCCAAGCCCTCTTTTCTTATTATGTGTCCCAGAAATTTCAAATTTCACTTTCTGATTTTACGTATAAGTATCTATATACGCTATTGTTGAACTGAATACAAGCCCAAGAGCCCCTTAAGGAAGCACAAGAGGGTCACTGCATTGGGGTTGTTTTATGGACGTAAGAATTGTAGATTATGAGAATATATAGGATAGATAATGGTTGACCCTGGATTTAAAGAGGTTAATATTATAGTAATTGAGAAAAATCCAACCAGGAATATGCACCTGAAAGAAGCTGTCTTAACGCTACTTCTTTCTTGGAATACGAAGGGAATAAGGATAGTTAGTCTCTGTGTCTATATTGCATATGCGTGATAGAGACTGCAGGTTGGAAAATAATCCATCACCCAAAAGGCCGCGTAAACGCTTTTGAACTCTATTAAGTTTAGAAATAGATGACTGGGCAGCTCCAGCCCAGATATGATCAGCAAGACTTCATGTTTTTGGTCTGATCTAACTCGTGTCAAGTTAGGGAATAGCAGATTCCTTCGTGTTACCATTTTCCTTAAAGAGCCTCGTTGCTTACATGTCATGTCCTTGGTATTCTCAATAGACAGCAAACATTAACAGAGGAACGAACCAGATTCAAAATTTTGAACGTCCTCTGGTAGATTGAATATTAATAGATTCTTAGATTTTTTTTTAATTTGGTTTCTAAATTAAGGCCATTCACAGAATGCTCAGCAAGCTAGAGTGTCAACTCATTATCAAAACATATTGGTTTCGATCCTAATTGGTTGCCACATAATCGTGACCTTCTAACAACACTAAATTTATTTCTATTGCAAAACAATGACAGGCATGGGGATGGCAAATAAAAAAAAAAGCCCAATCTGCAGCAAGGAGATTGGGGGGGCTTTGAGGAGGGTGGAACCACTTCTTAATTGCTTTTATCCCCAGATCCACTCTGACGCTGGATGTTAAAACCTGTTACTGTTCAAGCTATGAATAAATGGTGAACCTCTAAACAAAAATACCCTGAAAGCATATAAATACTAGCAATACATTTTTATATACAAAAAATACAGACTAATCATAATTATAATAAAATGACCAATTATATATTTTATAGCAAAATGACCAATTATACATTTTATCTGTAGTTGAAGTCAAAAAGTTCAAAATCCCGAATCCCCTGCTATTGAATCCATAGCTGCAAAGAGAAGAAAAGGATTCGTATCTTCCGTAAGTCATTTGAGCGGAAGTGAACGCAATGATCATCCCTATTTTGAACTCAGCATGCCGATTCGAATTTCAGTGCCGACCGCCACTAAGTTTTGCGATTATCCATATCTATATATAAAATTCTGAGACTTCCGTTTGTACGTCCGCCCGTCACACCCTTTAAGATAGACATACATTGAACGACCGAAATGAAATTTTGGGGAGAAGTGCGACTAGGTAAGGAGGTACAAAGTTCAATTAGTTTTACTAGCGGAAGAAGCTTAGTGCAATACATTTTCATTTATTTTTTTGGAAAATTAAAAGTTTTATTATTTAATATACAAT